GGCTCACAAAATCACTCTGGATGCCTCACACCCAGCACACTACCTGTTTGAACTGTTGCCGTCTGGTCGGCGCTTCATAGCACCAAGCACAAAAATCGCCAGACGCAGGAAAAGTTTATTTCCTCAGGCCATCTACCTCATGAACAGTTAAATATCCCCCAACTTTGCAATAAACATGTAATACTTTCTCATACGCACTTGTACACAGAACCTTATATCAATATACAATGCAATACTTTCTCCATTTGCATTTGTACACATCACCATATAACCTGTGTATTTATAACAAACCTGTACATACAATTCAACATCCAGATTTCTTGACTAACTGCATCTTTGTTTGATGTTTATCGTCTTTCTTTTTTCCATATTTATTTTGTGTTGTCACTTGTCACTTTATGTACACTGGAAGCTTCTGTAGCCAAAACAAATTCCTTGTGTGTGTGAAGCACAAAACTGTTGCACAAAGCAATAAAACTGATTCTGAAAACATCAGTAGGCCATTAGTATTGGGTACACTTGAGGTATTGGGGGGTCATATGCAAATGTCTTATTAATTTGGACAGCCTCATGCATTTGTTAACAAGAACTTTGTCACAGATGATGCACTGTGGCTGGGTCAGGGACATTTTGTTTCAAGAAAAGATAAAAAAACCATAGTTCAGGTAAATATCTTGGTATTTCCTGCATTTCGTGTTTCCAGTATTGCTAGTGCTGTGACCTAAAATGTTTGGAGCTTCCTCACCTGGGTCCAGTATTCTTGCGTCATTACTATTAACTGCTGAAGTTGAATCAGAGTATTTTTTATTTATTTTGTGGAAGACGAATAACAAATTTGTCAATTTTTGGTCAGCCAGAAAATAAAATCAACTGAGGCAAAATGATAATTCTCTTATTTGTCCACTGCTAATTATTATTTTTTTTTAAATATGACGCAACCCCCTATAGAGCTCGCTGAGACCCCCTTGTGGGCTGGGACTCCTTTGTTGGGAACCGCTGGTGTAGAATGAAGAAGAACAGAGTTTCTCACTTGTAAATATTCATAATAATTCACAGCCATATCACCCTGCAGCCCAAGAGCAGTTACTTACTGAAGCTAAGCAGGGCTGAGCCTGGTCAGAACCTGGATGTGAGATCACATGGGAAAACTAGGTTGCTGTTGGAAGTGGTGTTAGTGAGGCCAGCAGTGTGTGAGTCCTAATGCCCCAGTATAGTGAAAGGGACACTCAGGCCCGGCGCTACGGGGGAGCAAAGGGGGGCATTGCCCCCTCAGAAAGAATTTGTGCCCCCCCAGTTTTCATAAAGGATTGTTCACCCAAAACTGAAAATTCTTTCTGTCATTAATTACTAACACTGCTGTCGTTCCAACCTTTAGAACACACATTTAAATATTTTAAAATATATGACATAGCAATTAAATTATGAAAATTGTGGAATTAAAGCTAATCCTTCAGTCCAGAGATCAAGTCCCCGCATCAGGTCAGGTGACAAAAAGCAGAACCCTTTGAATGTTTGCTTTCATTTTGACATTGCTAAAAAGCGCACTTTTACAGTTGTGTAGAAAAACATCCCATTATGCAGCAGCAGTCAAGGTATAACACTTAATAAATGCCTTTTGCGTTTAAAGATGATCGGCCTGCGAAGTCAAGTTTGCAGTGTTATAAATGGAATAGGTATATAGTGCTTAAGTGGATTTACCGCGGATCAACCGAGAAACCTCTCACGTGCTGCAGGTAGGCTGAACGAGAATCTTTTAAAAATATGTAATTTACGCTATACTGCTATTTGCTCATGCAAAATTAAACAACATAATATATTGTAAACCTATTTTAAGAGCTAAAATACAGTCAGCATATCGAGTTTGTTTTGACTTGTAGCTCACGGCCCTAAAATGAAAATAACCCGAAAACAAGTTATTAAAATAGGCTTAATAAATAAATAACATGACGGGTAGGCTTAGTAACCAAATGGTTTATGATGGTTTACAGATGACAACCAGACAATATCACGAAAAAAACACAGTTATGATAGCCTAAGATAAATCTTTATTTTTACATTTAAAATGATGAAAAAAGTTATATAGCCTATTGAGTTGCATGTTATCCGTGCCAAACTAATTTTCACGGTAATAACTGTGAATTTTGGTATCTTTTTTAGGTATTTGGCTACATTAATGTCTTAAAATGTAACTAAGTAATTGTTTTAAATGACATTAGATTGTAACATTTAGCTTTTCCCTAACACTGATGTTGGTTGGGTAATAGGCTATGTGAAGCATGATGACTCGGTTAAGCTGATTTCACTATATTTACCGGATATACGAATAGTCTGATTGTGGGTCAGCTTGCATGTGTAGCATAATTTGATGTCTTTACCTAAAACTTTAAACATTCATATGCCTGTTATTTGAAATAAAATGGAAATAAATAAGGAGAATAACATAAGATTTAAAGCACTCGTTTGGCACTAAAGCCATGATCCGTCTGCATTAATAAGCGGTATTGTTGCATTACCGTCATTAATAAAATCAGTAATATCGAAACTGTTATTATTACTATTAAAACGTATATTACTGCCTTAGGTCAGTAACAAAGTAAAGTAATAATAAATGTAAATAAATAGCCTAAATGAAAGGAACAAGAGAGACCAAAATCAGCCACCAGGTCTAGTGCCACCCTATGGATTTAAAATGCCCCCTCAGTTCTGATATGCTGGCGCCGGGCCTGGGGACACTATACTGTCAGTAAGCGTTGTCTTTCGCATGAAACGTTAAACCGAGGTCTTGACTCTCAGTGGTTATTAAAAATCCCATGACACTTCTTGTAAAGAGTAGGGGTGTAACCACTGTGTCCTGGCCAAATTCCCTGCATCGTACCTTACTTATCATGACCTCCCAATCATCCGCATCTATCGAATTGGCTCTATCACTGTCTCTCCACTCCACCAATAGCTGGTGTGTGGTGAGTAGGGTTGGGTACCGAAACCCAGTGCCATTATAGCACCGTTACCTTGGTAACCGGTATGTACCGGTATTAAATAAGCGTATGAATTTCGGTGCTATTCGGTGCCTATTCAGTGCTGTGGCGAAAACGTAAGAAGCATCAAAGGGGTGCATGGAAAAAGGCCCACATAAGCGTTGTGTCACAACATCACTAAACATTTAATTCTGAACAACTTTGAGGAACAGGCGACATCAGGCGTTTGTTATTGTCGCTAGGGAATAGACGCACGCAACGTAGTACAGCGCAATTAGCCTGGTTTTCGGTGAGCGAGAGCGACACTCTTCAAATCTACACTCGTGATCACGTTCGTCCAATTTGCTTAAACTAAGCATTCTAAAGCGTATTTTACAAGCAAGGATTCTTACACAGCAACTGTCTTTACAAAAGTTGTGTGCAACGCCTGTTTTAGACCGCAAGCGAAAGCAGTGCGTGAGCAGCGTGTATGGAGATCAGAAGCAGCACGCAGGCGTTTGCCTTTCACACCAGCTGCGTCTGCAGCGCGCAGCTCTTCGGCAGCTGCTGCAGAGATCAATCTATCTCTATTTCACTGTTATAATAATATTTATATAATATAGTTAGAATGATATTTATACATGATCAAACTAGTGTTACTCTCTCCTCTTCAGTAATGTCCAGCGGCAGAGTAACAGCTCGTGCAAAGGATGAGACGGACAAAAGTAATCAATGCATGCCCTTCTTTTACTTATTTTCGTGTTGTCAGGTTCACGGTGCAACTCCCTTAAATAGCAAGTCTTAAAGCAACCACTCCCCTCTCTTACAACACTAGCGTGCAACTTAAGCAAAACTGATATTTAAATTGTTTTACATTTGGTTTTGTAGTTCGGGTCTAAATAAATGTTTGTTGCAGTTTTTAATCATTTATGTTCTTTTGATTGACTATATATAAATCAGTTGATATTATTAACGCATTTATTGGGTAAAATTGCTACTTTTTACTGTCATTCAATGTGTTTTGGTCATTATCAATGCAAACTTATTATGACACCAGAATAATAATTTTTTTAAGAAAACACTGTAAAAATTTTCAGAAACAATATTGTAAATGAATAGGAGGGCAAAATAAATTGACTTCAGCTGTAGGCCTGTTAGAGTTTACAGGTGCAGCAATGTGCCATGATTTACTTGAATGTTAGAAATGTGTTCTCCTACACTGGTATAATGTTACTTGTCAAATAAATAAACAAGGAAGATTATTTTGAGTTTAAGTTATTTAATTATCTTGTTTATGAAGACTGCAGAGTGATGCATGAAAACAAATGACTTCGAATAATGTTTTAAGTATTTTATGATATATATGTTAAAATGTGCTCCTAAAAGTATGTGGCCACTGCCCGCCCCCCCACAGGTTATTAGTAAGCTAATGTAATTTCATAATGCAAATCTTAAATTCATGCTAACCAACAAATGATCAAAGGAAATGTATTAATGTAATACAAAATGAATTTATGTTTACTTTAAACTGTAATTATATTGTTCTATTAAAATGATTTTTAAAAATATTTTGTCAAATAAAATATTTTTGTAAAGTCATCCACCATCATTTTGTGGCTAAAAAGTATCAATTCAGGCACCGTTTTGGCACCGGAATCGTTTTAAAAGTATCGATTTGGCCCTGGTATCGAAAAAAATCCAAACGATACCCAACCCTAGTGGTGAGCGCACTAGCACCATTGTCCTGTGGCTGCCATCGCATCATCCAAGTGTATGCTGCACACTGGTGGAGGTCAGGAGAGACCCCCCTAATGATTGTGAAGCTCTTTGGGTGTATGGTCATACACAATAAATGTGCAATATAAATACACATTCCTTACTACTTACTATGTCCAATCCAGCTCCTGGAGGACCACAATATTCTTTTTTTAGCTTCTTTCATAATAAAATACACCTGTACTAGTTAATCATGGTCTAACTAGGCTTAATGCAAACTCCAATTCTAATTCAGCAAATAAATGGACAAAAACATGACAAACACAACAGTTCAATTGACACAATTTTATTTCAATTCAACAATACATTTTTGGCAGCAACACCGCAAGACGCAAATATTGCTGCCTCAAGCTCTGACACCAGACATTAGCAAGAAGCAAAGGACTGGAGAGGTGGTGAGGCCACTGGTGTTAGCATGCCTGGCTAATCAGCTCTTCCTGCATGACCAGGACCGGGCGCTCATCCTCCATGTCTGATGGTGAGATCTAAAGCAAAAACAAAAACAAAATCAGGTTTATTGTCCCCAAAATAACTGACATTTTGAAAAGTTCTTGTAGATCATAGGTACCGTAAACCAGTCGTGGAGGAGGATCTGCTCCAGTTGTATCCTCTCGCTGGGATCGGGATGCAGACAGGCATTTATGAGATGACTGCATTCTGAAAGACAAGATTAATGTTTGACTATTACTTTAAACATCCTTTACATCTCCTGATGGCATTTTGGACAGCTGAGCCAAGTGGCTTTGTAAGACACTTTTTTGTATGATTGTTACAATTTTTTCAAGTTCTTACCACAAGACAAGGACGGCAGATACCACAGCCAGTGCTGCATCTTTTCCCGATCCGTGTAGTCTGGCATATATCCACACACCATAGTGTATAGCAGCACTCCAAGCGAATACACGGTTGCTGGCCGTGCTAAGTATTTGCCCGTTTCGAAAAACTCTGGAGGGCAGTACATCTCTGTGCCTGGAGGAAAGAGATTTGCATGTCTGAGTTACAACAGTTTGTTTTTACTGTATTCAGCAGCTTGTGTGTTATGACACTAAAGTTTTAATACTGTACATACCACTAAAAGTGTGGTACTCTGTTTCGTGGAACAGGTTCCCACAGCCGAAGTCAATCAGGGTGACATCCATGGTGTGTGTGTTGATGATCAAGTTCTCCAATTTTATATCTCTGTGGAATACTCCGCGCCGGCAGCAGGTCTCAGCTGCCTTGATAACCTGGCGCATCACATATCGAGCAAACCTTTCTTCAAAGATGTTGCCACAGCTCTCCAAAAGCTTGAACACACTCAGGCATGGTGAAGGGCGCTGCAGGACCATTATATAATGGTCTGGAAAGTCCTGCCAATCTAGCAGATCGATTATGTTGGGTGAGCTGGGACCCTTGTTTGCCATAAGTGTGAGGCCGATTTCAAGTGGTACAAGTTCTGGAAGGCCAGGCTAGTGGAAAGAGTTTTTAGGATGGTTAAATTAAGGTGGTTTGCACAACATGTTTATAATTTGTTTATTGAGAGATAGTTTGCTGTCTATGATTAACACTGTTGAAAAAAAAAACAGAGTTAGAGGAGATGAGTCTACTTACAACGTAGAGATATTCCATGCCCTCCATTTTTTTGGCAAACTTGATTGCCACCTGATCAACAAAACAGAATATAACAGTTAGCACTGGATTACTTCAGGCCATTCTTTAATCCTTGTTGAAATTCTAGTCATGAATTTGTAGCATGTTTGGTCAGGTTGACCATTTATCAAGCGCTCTAATTGTGTTACAAACGACAAAGCATAACACATAAATATAGTTTGTTAGGTTGATTATGCAAAAATATATATAAATTTACCGGAAGACCATCATGGGCGCGGACACCAGCATACACGGCACCAAATCCTCCTTCTCCCAGTAGCTCACCCATGTTGTAGGTCCAGCACATGCCTGTTCAAATATAATTAGTTTTAGAGACAGATTCATATTCTACAATGCAAAAGTAAAACTTTATTACCACTTTATACACCATTACGTCACTAATACATAATGCACAAACATCTAATCCTTTCAAAAAGTGAAAGCATCAAGCAGCCATAATTAATATGAACTTACTCCCAATAATCAAGACCATGTCTTGGCTTGGGTTTTCTGCCAGAGGACACACAGTTTCTTCCTCTGACAGATCATCTGGAAACTCCTGGATTTGCTCGTCAACAGTGAAGAGAGGAATCTCAAAACTACTGTTGGGAGTGTTCTGAGGACCATAACTCTCTACAGAAGATATGGTCTCCACTGAAGTTGGATCTGGAAAATATAACAATTATATATAAACACACAAACATTTCAATACTGCTACAAATAATACATTTATAGTATTTACAAAGACAAAACTGAAGAGTTCAGATACACAAACATCTGCACATCTGAACATTTGAACTCTGCAAATGTTTAAAGCTATGATGATCTTCTTTAATGATTAAGTTCAGTAAACACAAAAGATGAAGAGATTTACCTTCAGTAGAAGTTTCTTCCTCCAGCTCCACATTCTCACACTGTTCCTGTATTTGCAGGTCAATGATGGAGGAAGGAACCTCAAGGCTGTTAGGAGCTTGCTGGTGGTCATGATGCTCAACAGGGCTTGAGATGTTTCCTACTGAGGTTTGATGTAAAGAGGGGAACATACATTCAACATTTACTTTAATTAAAACACACAGAAACGTTTCAATCCTTTTACAAATACATATATTTGTAGAGACAATATTTTAAAGCTATGGTGATCATTTTTATTCATTTTTTTCCAGTCACAGAAAAAATAAAGGGATTTACCATCAGTAGAAGGTTCTGCTTCGGTGACTGGCTTCACCTTCTCACTGTCCACCTGCTTCACCTTTTCACCCCTTCCAGTTCTTGGGCGTGAAAAGCGGAACAGCTTTCTCCAAAAACTCGATTTTTTCTTCACTTTCTTTTTCTCCTTTACCAAACTCCCTCCATCTTCCTCACAAGCAACAACACGGCTCTCCTCAAGCTGATGGTTTTCTTGACGAGGCGTGTCATTATTTAGCTGAAGTGGTGTACTAGGATGTAAACTGTACACACACTCCGACTCTGTCGCTATATTCAGACAAGAAATTCGCTGACCCATGATAAAACAAACGCACTGTCTCACTCCAAACTACCCACTAAAACTAAATTACACCGTCAAGCCTTAACATTCCACTTTGACGTTCTAATTATGACATCAAATAAAATGTCCTTGAGATCGATTTGTTTTGTTTTAAAATTTGCTGAACTACATATTGCATACATAATACCTGACAATTCTTATAGTAATGCCTAAAATAAAGCTAAAATAAATATTAAATCATATTATAAATGTAAATCTACTTGTTTTAATACTTGTTCAAGCACTTATATAAATGTTTAATTCCGTACTTCTGCAGTATAAGGCTGCGTCGCTAATACTTTCTTATTGGTTGTATTCTCTTTCTCAACCACTTGAGAGCGGCAAATATCATGGTATCTGAACAGAACTGATAGTCCACATTACTTCATGATCTCAGTGGGAGTAGTCTACATGAAGAGTTTGATTTCTTTTTGTATGTATATTTAAATGTAAGGAATTGAAGTCAGAAATGAATTAGAGTAAAGATGTGTGGATGGGATTTAAAAACATAATAATCTGACTGAATCTACTAAATCTAGTAGAGGAAACAAGCTATTTTCTGTTTTTCCTTTTAGCTTAGAGAACTTGTGTTTTCCAGAAGACAAATTTAATTAAATGCAATAGATTTCCAAATGTTTGTTTAAAATATGAAGGTCAGCCTGGTTTTGATCCAACTTGTGATGGGTGTCAACAAGCTCCAGCCTCTCTTTCTGACATACTTTCTGGCTTTTTTCAGCACTAAGCACTTTTTGGGCATCAATTTTTAAATCAATTTCTAAATGTTTTCTTTTAGATATCAAACCACGCACCCTAGTAGCATTATTTAGACGTAACCCTACAAATGTTTTCTTGTCATCTTCACAGTCAAATGCACTTGCTGTCTGTTTAATAATTGCTAAAAGGCATTTAACACTAAAGTGGAAAAATCCTTCTCCGCCCAGTTATGTGCATTGGATGCATGATCTGATGCAGTCTATTCAAATAGAAAAGATTAGGTATACAGATTGCAGTATTAGAAAAATTTTTACTATATTTGGCAACCCTTCCTCTCTCATTTTCCTGTTAAAAATGGAGAGCACAGACAAAATATACATGTTTATATATTCATGTTTATTTTCTTTCTTCCTTCTTTTTAAAATTATTTTTAAAATTAATTAATTTATATTTTTACTGCTGTACCGTTAGAATATTTGTATATTTTGCTATATGGCCTAATATGCAACCCGGGCTCAGTGTGGAAACGTAGTCCCGCAGACGTTTCTGGAGACTGCGGAATACGTCCTGGTGGGCATGTACGGCTGCAGTTTTTGTTGTTGCGAATCCGCAAGAGGCTGCTGTTGTGCGCTTTTTCGCATCTCAAACGCCTCTCGCGAGTGCGGTTCGCACCTGTGCTGTTCTCGAGTGAACCCACCAGAGGCAGCTGTCCGACTGACCGGATGATTGACTGTGCGACTGGCCAATCGGCTGACCCGCCTCCCTCCTCCTTCCCTGAACCCAACCAATTTACCGATTGACCCGCCCGCCTGCTCGCTTCCCTAAACCCGAGCAACAGTTTACAAAAGCAGTCCAAAATAAGAAAAGCCCTGATTTTTTTTTTCTACTGCGTTTTCGGATTTCACCACATTCTCACCCTGTTACGAAACTCGTTCACTTAATTTTTGGGATTCTGTTTTTGTCTTACCTGACTGCTGGAACCGAAACCGATCGCCGTGGTCAATTCCTCTCTGCATCTCGAGTCTGCCGACGTACACGGTGAGCTGAGTGGACAACCGGGTTGCAGCTGGAAAGCCCTCCACAAGGAGGTAAGCGGTCGGCCGGCTGGCCTGCGCAAAAGGGAACAGCGTCATACCGCCCAGTAGCGTTCGCTTGAAAAAAATAAATGCAGCCCTACATACCTCCCGGGACGTATTCTGCTGTATCCAGAAACGTCTGCGGGACTACGTTTTCAGAATGAGCTTGGGTTGCTAACATGTGTTACTTTTATCCATATTGTTAGTTAATTTATCTTCATTTTATCAGTTGATGTCTTGTGATTCTTTGTATTTAATATTGTAACTCTCTGACTAATAAGCATCAATAAAACAAAGTTAGGCTAAAATAATTTAATAATATAACAAATGTTTAGTTTTATAAGAGACTTCACTGCTCTATCACATACAAGAATACTCAAGCTCACTACTTTCCTGTATTGTCTGAAGGACATAAAATCAGTATCTTGGCTTGAAAGATTGTCACTATGTTTCTTTTAGAAGGGCTCATCCCTATGGCTTAATCAGCTGATTCTCAACCACATTCCTTTTTATTTTTAAATTATTTTTATTATTCTACTAATACTTCCAAACATGTTTTTTTGTCGTTGATGTGTTGATGCAGATATTGAATTATCTATAGATCAATGCTTCCATCATTTTAAAGACTGACATGTCTCTTTCAGTGACACAAGTCAGCAACCAGGGCATCATGAAACAGTAGTTACCAACCTTTTTTTGCTTGAAACC